GTGACGACCCTAAGACGTGGCCAGCCAGAAGTTTAAACCCAACGAGTTTGTCGTTGGTAAACACTCTTCTGATAGCTTACTAAATTTAGCAGCGTCTGGTCGTCTTTCCTTACTATATGGGACGGAGGTACAACATAGTAAAAAAAGAAAATGTACAATGAAAATTTCGGATCCTCATAAACGTCATCGTTCTTTTTCCAACCGTCCTGGAAAAGAAAAAAGAAAATGTAAGTGCATGTCGAAAATACACTCGTATGTGCGTAAAAACACAATGTCGGCGGAAAAAAAATGGAAAATAAACTCATGAACACGTAATAGCGTTAAAAAAATTGTTTTTTTGTTTTGTTTTTTTTTAAATAGAAATAAAAATATATAAGCATATTAAAATTGTTTTTTTTTAAAAAAAAAATAATATAAAATGTCGAGAAGTGCCTTACGTGCAATAGTCGTTTAGATGTTCTGGAAATCTCACCCTTCTTCCAGAACGCGTCGTTTTAAGTTTATTTTCGGATACTGTCGAAGTATCATCGTGTGTGTTGGTTGTCGGATGAGGTATTATAAGTGTCGGAGTCGTGTCGTTCAATTGTACCGAAGGAAAATCCACGTAGATAGGATTTCCTTCTAAATACGCTGCTTTTAAGCGATCGATACTGATGCTATCGTTGGTTCCGTTCTTATCGACTATATAGTACTTAGATTCACGTTGAAGAACTTTGAAAGGTCCTTCGTATGCTGATTCGAAGGGTCGTCGATGCGAGTCTCGACGAACGAAAACGTGTGTACTATATCGTAAGTCAGGTTGAACGAAAACATCAGTTGATTGAGGTCGGGTGGAAGCAGGTTTAACTGAACGCATTGCGTTTGTAAGCCTGTTCGTGTAGGAGGTTAGATCCATGTTCATTGAAGAGGATGAAGGATCCACGAATTCTCCTGGAAGTCGAAGTGTCGTACCATAAACGAGTTGAGACGCAATGTATCCAATGTCAGCTTTCAGTGCATTGCGGATACCTAGTAAGACGAGTGGAAGAGCGTCGGTCCACTGTGAAACGTTTGTAGCTGATAGCGAAGCTTTCAGTTGTCGGTGAAAACGTTCTACCAACCCGTTTGCTTGTGGATGGTAGGCGGTCGTTCGGAAGCGAGTGCTTCCTAAAAGAGTGGTCAGACGACGGAAAAGATCAGATTCAAATTGACGTCCGCGGTCTGTAGTGATGGTTGAAGGGCAGCCGAAGTTTGCTACCCATCGTTCGACGAAGGTGCGAGCCACTGTTTCAGCAGTGATGTCCTTGATAGGTACTGCTTCTGGCCATCGAGTGAAACGGTCTACGCAGGTTAAGAGATAAGAGTATCCATTTGAATCTGGTAAAGGTCCTACCAAATCCAGATGAACATGGTCGAAACGAGCATCGGGAGTTTTAAACGAGCCTAAGGGACATTTATTGTGTCTGATAACCTTAGATTTTTGGCAGCTTACACAGGAGCGTGCCCACTCCCTCACGTCTTTATTCATTCCAGGCCAGCAAATCCGTTCTGCTATAAGCTTGATGGTTGCACGAACACCTGGATGCGAAAGTTTGTGCAATGTGTTGAAGACATTGCGTCGATAATGTTTCGGCACGATTGGGCGATCCCTACCTGTAGATGTGTCACAAAGTAAGGTTTCCTTACCTGTTCCCATCTGTTTGATGCGTAGTTTAAGTGTTGTGGACGATAACTCGTGCTGAAGATCACTGTCTTCTTTTTGAAGCTCGGCGAGTTTAAGAAGGTCGATTCCTTGGAAACTGTTCAAGGAAGTTATACGAGATAAAGCGTCTGCAACTACATTGTTTGCTCCAGAGATGTGTTGAATATCTGAAGTAAACTGCGAAATGTAGTCCAGTTGTCGAGACTCACGGGGAGAGTACTTGTCAGAAGGAGAGCTTAACGAGAAAGTGAGCGGTTTATGGTCCGTGAAAAGAGTGAATTCACGACCTTCGATATAGTGTTGGAAATGCCGTACAGCACAATACATAGCTAGGAGTTCCCTACCGAATGTGCTGTACCTCGATTCGGTGTCTAGCAACCTTCTAGAGAAAAATGCCAAGGGTTGCCAGGAGTTGTTAACCCATTGTTGTAAGACTCCTCCGATTGCTGAGTCGGATGCGTCTACTGCGATGCTAATGGATGCTCGGGTGTCCTGATGTGCGAGCATTGTTGCTTTACCAATCAGTTCCTTAACTGTGGAGAATGCTTTTCGTGCGGTGTCGTCCAAATTAATGGATTTCGCATTTCCACGAAGTTGGTCGGTCAGAGGTTTCATAAGTAATGCGCATTTCGGTATGAAACGTCTATAGAAACTTACGAGGCCGTTAAACGTGCGCAATTGCTTGACGGTGGCCGGTTCTGGGTAATCCAGAATGGCCGCCACTTTGGTCCTAAGAGGTCGAATGCCTTGAGCATCGATAGTGTGTCCTAGGAAGTCTAACGAGTCGGTTCCGAATTGGCATTTCTGAACGTTTACAGTTATGCCATGTTTTTGAAGTCGTTCGAAAACAAGATCCAGATGCCTGAGATGTGTTTCTCTGTCCGGACTTGCGATTAGACAGTCGTCAACATACGCGTGTACGAAGTTGAGACCTCGAAAAACGTCGTCTATGAATCTTTGGAATGTTTGAGCAGCATTCCTTAGACCGAAAGGCATTCGCAAAAATTCATAGAGTCCGAAAGGAGTTATGATAGCTGTTTTCGGTATGTCGTCAGTAGCCATAGGGATTTGGTTATACGCTTTAACCAAGTCGATTTTCGAAAAGACAGTTGTACCTTTCAAGGTAGCTGTCAAATCGTGAATGTGAGGCAACGGGTAACGATCGGGAATGGTTTTCGCGTTCAATCGCCGATAGTCACCAGTTGTACGCCAATCGTTGCTGTCCTTTTTAGGGACCATATGCAACGGAGATGCATATGGGCTACTTGACGGTCGTATGATCCCTAAGTCCATCATGTGATCGAATTCGTTTTTCGCTAACCTTAGCTTTTCAGGAGCTAGTCGTCGTGCTTTAGAAAATACAGGTGGTCCTGTAGTCGTGATGTGATGTGTAACATTGCTGGTTACACACGGTAGTTTCGTTTGAGTTTGTTGTATCTCAGGGTACTTATCGAGTAGTGGTTGATAGAGTGGGTCTATCATATGTTTAACTGTGACTGGGGATACTCTACAACCAGTAAAGGAAGTTACGCAAACGGACAAATTATTGTTTCCGTCTACTAGCCTCCGTTTGCGAGTGTCGATGATCAGATTGTGGTGTTGTAGAAGGTCCATACCAATGATTGGCATAGAAACATCTGCAACAACGAAAATCCAGTGGATGGGTTTGCGTAAACCCACGTTAAGGTAAACGTACCTTTTGTCATACGTAGCGATCGGTTTTCCATTTGCCGCCTGTAAGTTAAAAGCCGACTCCTGAAGCCGGTCGTTAGGATTTGCTGGGAGAACGCTAACTTCTGCGCCAGTGTCGACGACGTAACGAACTCTCGTTGTCACATCTGTGACGAATAACAGACGGCTTTGTTCGCCGGCTACGGTTGCCGTTAACGCGTGCCGGCTTGGAAGTTTCCCGAATTGCTTTTCGAATCAGTCGGTTTCGTGTTGGGAAAATTGCAGGGTTTTCTGCAATTTCTGGAAAACTTTCCATACTGGTTATGATACCAGCACCAGTCGGGGTTATCTGTCCCTCGTGGTCTAGAGACAGATCGCTTACCTAAAATGCTTCTATGTGGAGTGCGCGATCTCTTACGGTCGGTACGAAGACTAAGATAACGCGTGAGTGTATGACATAAATCGGTTATATCATTCTGAGTCGTTTGAGGTTTTTCTGTGACTGAAAATACCTCGGTAGTAGAAGGTTTCGTAATTTCTAAAATGCGGTCGGCAGATGCAGCCAGCTCGTCTAAGGCGTTGTTCTGGAACGAGACCAGAACTGCTTGCACCTGTTGTGAAAGTTTTGACAAGAAGAGTTGTTTGAATAGGCCTTCGTCGAAAGTTCTTGGGCCTATTACCTCTCTCATCCGTTGCAACATGTCTGTCGCAGAACCGTGTTGCAGGTCGATGTTATTGAAGAGTTGATCTAACCTTTGTCGACCGATAAGGTCTCCTCTTTTAAGAATCGAACGTTTCAAGGTTTCGTAAGGGTCAGAAACATCACTAGTAAACATACTAGGTGTTACGTACCTGTTGAATTCGCGCGGTAGTGCCTTGACTACTGCGAGGAATTGTGCACGTGTGTCGATCACGCCGTGCTCGTAGAAGTCGGCTTCTGCGTAGCAAAACCAGGCTTCGATGTTGTCGGGCCAGAAAGGCATGAGTTGAAACGAAGGCGGGGACAAAGTCTTAAGCTTGAGTACTTTAGGTGTGTGTTCAGTCATGATGAAGTATGAAGTACGATAATGAACAAGAGGAAAATATATATATCCAGGAAAAACACGAAAAAAAATCACAATGTTTAAAAAAGTTAAAAAAAATAAGGCAATGATATATAAAAAATCCCAAAAAGGAACAGACTCACAGTTGCAATTAGGTGTACCAGATCACGTCGGGCTCACCAATGATGATGCCACAGGTATTCAGTGTTTGACAACGCTTTTACCAGTAACACCCTCTAATATATTTCGTTCCCACCCAGAGAAATCAAAAGACAGAGTCGAGGAGATCGGAAGAGTATATTTGGCGATGACCAATATATCGGAATTCTCTGATCTAATCTGGCTAGCGATTGCGGTTGATGTTGAGCACGGCGTTACCACACGTGATCTGGTGCGGATGACTGACCGAGCGCCTTCAGCTAGGTGAGTCCACTAAAACATATGGTCAGCATCCAATGTCGAAAACTTAGTGCTATTTATTTTGGGGATTTATTTACCGCTACAATAAGTAAACCTGAGATTTGTGAACAAAAAATATACAGGGTGATCAATAGCGTGAAAATGGACTAAAACGGAATACAACATAAAGGACTTGTGCAAAATTACAAACATTGGCGGAAGTCTATAATCATTTGAATCATTTTATATTGTTTCAAGGTGCCGAAAGACTATTGAGAGCCACTTTTGTTTTCAAGGACAGTGCTGATGATTAGGTTTATTCTTATACAAAATAGAGCCGGCAAAACTCGCTTGGCTAAATGGTATATGAATCTTGATGATGAGGAGAAACAAAAACTAATTGAAGAAGTTCATGCCTTAGTCACTGTACGAGATGCCAAGCATACTAACTTTGTTGAATTTCGAAATTTCAAGATAGTTTATCGTCGTTATGCTGGCTTGTACTTTTGTATGTGTATAGACCTAATGGACAATAGTCTCGCATACCTAGAAGCGATCCATAATTTTGTAGAAGTCTTGAATGAACTGTTTCACAATGTTTGTGAATTGGACCTCGTCTTTAACTTCTATAAAGTTTACAGCGTTGTTGATGAAATGTTTCTGGCCGGAGAAATCCGTGAGACAAGTCAAACCAAAGTTTTAAAGCAGGTCATTATGTACTCTGCCTTGGAGTAACGTCATGGTGTTTTTTTCTTTAGGAAACGCTCACTACAGAACACAGGCGTGATATACAGCCCTCAGTTACTGTTTTGTTTCTGTCTTGCACATTCATTTAATTATGTAGCTAATCTTTATTTTATCCGTCACTTCTCAGAGGTTACTCTGGGAATTCATCCAACTTGTTGATTTATTTGCTTTTTTACTTTTTTGTGTATTATTCCAATCAAAACTTACTCAATACTGCATCTTATGTGAACATTGTTGTCATATTCTTATTATGGTATCAGTGTACGTAAATTGATTCATCAGATATTGATGATATCTTTCAATATTAATAAGTACAAAGTAACTAACTAACTGTTTCGCCATTTTTTCATGAAACCAATTCCTAATAGTTATTTGAAAGCAACTGTGTACACGAAGTGTACAAACTTTTTTCCTATGACAACCTGGACCCATTTTGAAACTCCTGTTTCTAGTCCCGCATTTGTTTAGCGACCGATGCAATGATATATATACGAAAAACTTAGTGCTCTAAATTATATTTCTTTATTTAATAGACACAAATAAAGTACTCAGGGATTGTCCTGAAAACTTGGTTCTATTTTACAATCGTTTCATCTTCGTAAAATAGGTTTGTCAGAATTAGGAATTGGAGATTCATTTGTTAAGAACAAGATATGCTTTCAGAAGGGTACTCGGGATCCACTTCAACTAAGCCCAAAGTAACAAAACCAATAAGCCTTAGAGATGCTTACAAAAAGAAATTCTTTTTCAGCGAATGAGTAGTCGGGCCACAGCAAAATGGTTTAGACACAGTTATATGTTTTCCTTACATATAACGACAGCAAGATGTTCCCTTCACCCTACTGTTTCAGACGATGTTCTTTCATCGTACTAAGAACTCTGGGTTAGAGAACGTTGACCGTTTAAACTTGTGAGTTTAGGTATTTCAGAAATTTTAAGGAGGAATACCGAATCCACTACGTCTCATCTGTTAGTTAACCATACTACATTAATAGATCGCTCAGTATGAACATGGCGGAAATAAGAACACCGGTTTATATCTGTTTATTCTTATTACATATATCACGGTTGGGACGCAGATGATTTGGACTCCTAATCACAGTTGTCAAACACTCACATAAACATTGCTCAATTCGGGAAACTGAAAGGATATAGAGATGTTTTGTAGGCGTCTGGTGAATAAGTGATTGCAATGGCTTGTTGAAATTTTTCCTGACAGTAGTCATTTTTACTAAGAGCAGTTTAAAACACTGAGGCACATGGCTTAGGAATTCTGTCATAAATCAACAACGGTCATGTATAGGTCGATATTATCCATTATAGCAGCGAACCACTGGTCATTTCTTAGTCTACGAATGTGGTCTGGTCGGGTATTGGATTGAAACAAGTGAATGCACCTCGAGGGTTCCAAGAAATGAAGGACTATGGTATCTTTTGTTTACATAATGTGTAAACCGGGGAAACCTGTTTTTTTTGGGTCCACTGTATATATATATATAGACTCATTGAATGCTTATCTGTTAACAACCCAGTCTGTTATCAAATTGCACCAGTGGTTCACATGCTATACTAAGCTTCATCTGAACTAACGAGTGGATGCGACTTTATGGTTGACCCTAAGTGAAGTCAGCTGTAATGTAAACCTTGATGGTTGCGAGCAGTGATAGAAAAGCATCAGCTGTTTAGATGCACACAAACTGCCGTATACATAAAAAATATCCCAGAGAAAGATGAGTCTACAGTTGGTTTTCAAGATAGGTAGTTGACAAGACAATAAGTAATACCCACAGTTACCAACTGCTTCTTACGCTCATATAGCCGAGATCTGGATGTGGTGTCAACACCAGCTTCCGAAATTCGGCCCTAATGGTAATCGACCTTGAATGAAGCGGATACAAGTTTTGACGAAACACTGACTAGACTGATCAAGGTATCAGATGGTCTATAAAGTCTCAGGCTAACTTCGTAAAGAAGCGATACTTTTGTGACGAACACAGATTAATTATCTTAAATAACAGCTTTAAGAGTCTGTACAGACATCATACCGAACCGGAGTTTGAAAACAACGGAATTAGCCACTTCCTGGGGTTGCGTTGATAATCCTCATATTCTTCGAAGTTTGAAAGCTACTTGCCCTACGACTGCAATTATCAAGCGAATGTTTTTAAGACCAGGCAACAATTACTTTTGTACGGCATGTTGTAAACATACACGGGCCACAAGAGGTTAGATTGTGTCATTCCGAACCACCATCAACTTGAATGTTTGATGCAAGGGTAAAAAAGGACAATATAAACTCATGTCAATGGCTTTTAGTGAGTGTATACTTATACTGGATCTTGTGAAATATGCGGAATCTCTTCTTGAGGGCTAAGCAGTGTTTCAAAGTTACCAGCAATACCTTACTTGTTTTCTCCTAGGATACATTCCAATACTTCATCCTTGGTTTGTTTCTGTTCTCTGTAGTAGAAAACCAAGCGACTATGATATAAGACTACTATCTGCCATATATACGACTGATATCACCTTGAATTTGAAATCCTATATGCAGTTTGAAACAACTGGCCACGACTATGGGATTTCGAACATCTACAACGTAGAATCAGTTCATTCGAATATAGCTTCAGGCAGTTCGTAGGACGGAAACCATTTTTGGTACTAGACTTACTTAAAGGTAATAATATTAGGCAGTAATTCAGTGTTATACTAGTAGGGAATTTGTTCAAACGGTAAAATACTCCCAAACCGCACAACTACCTGAGACGTTAGGGGCCGTTACTTCATGTAATTTAAGATTATACATCTTTGGAAATACCAATCCTGAGTATCCGCTAAAAACTTATAATATCTACAGCCCTTGTAATGTTTACACATGAAATCCGAATCCTAGTTACGTGATGTGAAATTTTAAATGAATCATATCTCCTTAGTCTTCTACCCATTAAAATATCGAACAAATCAGGTAGCTAGATACTAAAATCAATGGCTGCATTTCACCAGTTATGAGTGTCGCTCAAAACTAGCGTGAACTCAATCAGAACGGAAATATTGATTCGTATCACTATTAGTCTCTCAGGATAATATAAATAGTAAAGTAGTTCACTGAGTCAACTTTATATATTTGGATATGAGTCACGTTTTAAGCATGAGAGGCAATGATAAAATCTAGTGCTGAAACCAAGGTAGATGGGGTGAGGTCTGAACCTTCTACCTGGATATTGAAAGTCAAATATTTTGACCAATTAGCCGCAATTCTACTGCTCCAAACTATGAGCAGACAATTATAGGAATGATAGTGCCATGCATCATTAAATAACTACAAAATAAGGTAATTCCCAAAGAAAACTATTGAGTCTTATACCATAAATAAATAATCTGACAAGACGTACATAGATGCTTCCATTATTAGATAAATGAAAAACAACGAAATTAACTTGACAACAGTATAAATGCATTTTTATGGATAACACTCTGATGATTATAATACCTAAGTGATATCTCATAGAAGAAATGTACGACCCGAACCAGCGGGACAATTAAAATGAGGAAATAATTTGGCAAGTTAAAGAGCAAATATATGTCGTCGCATTATGGACACAGTTAAAATTCAAAGGAAGAAAAATCACAAATGAAAATAAGTGAACAGAAAATATCCTTATATTTAGGTCCTACGATTAGGAAGTATCACATTAAAATAGTAATAGGTATACAAATAAACATATTTCTTGTTATGATGTATATATATATAGGATATGGAAGTTCGTACAACCCTAATATTGGTGTATCACATATTGAGACAAACACAACCGAAGATAGCTCGAGGGACTGTTGTATTTAGAACTTTAATGCAGGACCTGCAGTAAATAAATTAATAAAAGAAAAACACTAGTCAGTAATTCAGTAACAACGAAATATAGCATTATGTTAACTAAACAAAACATACCATGTGTTCGTCGTCGGATCATAACAGTGGACATCATCTCGTGGAACAGTAGGACGTCGATCATCACCAACAAACTCACTAAATCCTCCAACCACATATAAATGCTCTCCGACCCACGATAACCCAGCATATATCCGCGCTTCGTTTGGAGATGAAGTGGAGGAAGAAACCAAGGGAGCTAGTGAGCGTAGTGTGTGACGACGAAGATCCAAAACTGACAATTCACTTGTTGATTCCCAAAATATATACACCAGGTTGGTATCCTAAGAAAAAATAGGCGACGTATATGTGGGGAAAGTGACCACGAATCATCATTAAGACAGACTATACAATATTAAATTAATGTTTATAAAAATGGGGGTTCCAGCAATATGTACGACTTTTGTAGAGCTATAAAACACAAGATTGCTACTAAATTCATTTTTTATTTAGTCACTGGACAGATAAGCATTAACTTAATTACTAGGCGCGGATTTATTACTCGTATTTGAGAAACACTGTAGGCATAAGTTATAGTGATACAATACCACAACCCGAAGTAAATAAAAAATGACTTAAACCTGCTACCTAACAGTTACAAATCGAGTTCATTAACTACTAAGTGAACGTCCTATCACTGCACAAATATATACAGAAAGTGTCATAAGGAGAAAATATTCAGGGATCGAAATTATGACTTATTTTAACCAAATTTCAGACACGCCTGATGACCGTTGTGAAGATCCAATTGTTTACTCTGACTGAATAAGAACCAGTTAGCAAATAAGTTATAGAATGGCTAAACAAGAAAACGTTTATAAACACACTGATTTTAGCAAAAGCGATACTTTATATCCCTTCATCAAACACATTATATCTCTGATATACGTTGGATTCACTACAGTATACGGTTTAGCGACTTTATTAATCCACTAGTTTTTAATAAATTTAGAGGGTTATAAAAACAAACGGCTTCTTTTTTAGTTACAATGAGGAGTTAATGTAGTTGTGACAAAGAAAAAGCCAGCTCGCTTTACAAATAAAGTGAGGAGAATATAGTAGTTCGAAATTTCGATTTTATCAATAAGGATAACAACCAGAAAGTGTTATATGAACATGAATAAATCTCTAGTTAAACCCTAATTTACAAACCTAAATATAGGAAACACCAAAGGTATAAAGTGTAATATATTCGGAAACGTCTAAAGACTTAAAATACTATTGTTGATGACAAAAAATGTTAAAACTCAAACATTAAGTAAAAGTTACTAAACTTGATATTAACATAGATGTTAATAAGATAGAGATTGAATAAAGACAAAGATACTATGATGGTTGAGGGTAGGTAGGAGAAAGCTCGTCTTAGTTTCTACCTATCTACTAGACATGTCTACAATTATCCCGTAGGGTTCGAACCACATTCATCCAGTTTCATATGCAGAGATGTTGCCATTAAAAAACTCATTCAACATTAATGACTAGGTAACGTGAGACTGGCTATCAATTGGTGAAAGATACTATGGACAAAAGTTAAAAGGAAGAAAATTTTAAAAAGTATCGGAGAAGCGAGATGTTCTTCACTTTTTATTAGTAAATGGTCGTATTCTTGTCACTAAATTCATGTAAAATGAAGTTGTTAAACATTAATCTTAACTTTCTCATAGACTTCAATAGACAAGAGTGAAATTTGTTTCCATGGGTCAGATTAAGAAAAAACTAAAGATTAATTGAAGAGATGCAAACATCGTGACTAACTAGTTATAATTGAATATTTTATCCGGAAGAAATGAACGAGTTTTGTGAACCAGAAAAACTGCATGTCACGATAAAGTTGGAATTATTGTTTATCCCCAAACTACTCATATACGAAAAAAAGAAAGTTAACAACCAACTTACTTGATGCACACAACAGTTCACATAGCGAACTTGTTGTGGGAGTTTTATGTAATCCGCGGTGCAAAATACTGTATAATCAGGACGTAAACGATAGAAAGCAACCTGATCCGTACCATGTGGTTGTGTTTCAGTTATTCCACCGACTTCAACAAAAACACGTTCAAAATTTACATTCATAGAATTATTTCTTCGACGGGTTTTATTGGTTTGATTAGTACCATTACTGTTGTTGGTAATATTATTTTCTGAAACTGATGTGTTATCTGATATTATAAGAAATCGGAATAACTACTAAATAAACTGTTAAAACGGAATTGAACACTATTAACATATGGAAAAATATATTCCCAAACCTAAACACTGATGCCATTAGCCTACAATTATGAAGATATATTGATCATATCGTTTATCAAATTCTTTTCGCCACTACAAACACATAAATAATGGTATCACTTTTCTACTTTATTTCCTAAAAATGCTGACATTCAGATTCAATAACTTATTTCACAATGAATACGGTAACCACATCATATACGGAATGCACCTTGATGATACTAACCGACTATTGTTCTAAAAATATGGATTTAAACTTACACTTTGTATTGTTCATATAAACAAACAATGATACACGAGTTCATACACTGCGGTATTAACCAGTTTTCAAACTTATGATATAACGGGTAAAGATCCATTCCCTAAACAATGACTTATACCCCATCTGTCATATATGCATGTAATACATGTAAGTAAAAAAGATCGTAAACGAATGAAACTACAGTGGCTTATGTAACTAGAGATCCTTAACTGTAATATCACATACGATTAGGCTTTAATAAGATCATCAGATTTGCTTTCACTGTAAACAGGTCTCTATATATAGCATTTTGTTTTAAATTTTGAAGTCATCTAATTTAGTCTAGAATGTAGCAACACATTGAAAATCGAACCGTTTCATCAAATTCCTGTATTTTTGTTACCCTTGTTCACTGTAGACACCAACTGATACAACTATGTAACAACATAGAGACCAGTGTATTTTAAAACACATGAAACGTCTTCCTGGATGACGATAATTTTGTAGAACAATATCTACAAAAAAAGCCACTTCATTCTTATCCATTGACTTGACCTACAATCATTCAAGTGCTTTGTGGTCACCACAATAATAATAATGGTAACAAAAACAACATTGGTCACTTTCTGTTTTTAGTTATTCTAACTTCAGTTCTGGATCATTCCTCCTCTCCATTTTATGTTTAACCAAATGGAACTACATTAGGCCAGTCAGTCAGCTGCAACGTAGGACCAGACACATATATTCATCGGTCCAAGTTGCCATACCTAATTAACACAACAAGATGGACACCGGATTCATAAAAGTAGTTAATTCAGAGGTGATGATATATAAAAGAAAGATTGCAATAAGGATATAGTACATGAAGAAATAATTAGTTCGTAGAAAGAAAGATATGAAGTGATTTTAATCTCTTAGTTTAAGGGAAGACAGAGAGTGTATACACCGACGCCATTGTGATCGATTCTGAGCCATGTCACCAAGAGTCTCCAAACACTCCTTACGATAGTCACGCAGACCCCAACCAAGTAGTCCGCATCTACCAACATGGCTAAGACTAGAAGTTAGTGACTTCAAGCACTGATGCCATGTTTTGGTTTGGCCGCCCCCAACTTTCTTCCAACCATCTCCAACACCGGTTAGCACTGGACGTCGTGGTAATCAGTGTTCAGGCATACGTAACACGTGGCCCAACCATCTCAGTCGATGAAGATTTACAATCTCACCAACTGATTTACCATCATTCCCTAATACCCTGCGTCTAACCTCACTATTACTTACCCGGTGATCCCAGAAGACGCCAGCAATATTTCTAAGGCATCTGTGGTCAAATACTAGTAACTTACGAGTATCTTTCACCCTTAATGGCCAGTGTTACTACCGGATCAAATTGATCATCCGCTGACTTAGCATATACATATGTATATGGAACATTCCACATTAGGAGTAGTGAAATGAAGTCATTTTCCAGAATAACGATTGGACTTATGGAACAGAAACTACGGTGAGCGTTATGAAACAGTATACTTAAGCAGTCAAACACTGAAAGGCAAGAGACCAGGTTCACATAAAATAATTTAGATTTGCAGGCTGAATATCTTGCGCGACATTCTTAGTGAAGTAGAGATGGATAGAGAAGTGTGATTGAACCAATCACTCATTGAAGAAATCAGATGATAGTTGTACAATATTGGGAATTCAGTGATTCTGTTAACGAATATTCAGTAATCTAAGTATATCGTGCTTGAAGGTTTTGAGTTCGATATTGTGTGTAGTCATGAAGGTGTAATCCAGATGAGTTAGTACGAAACATCTCACTACATCAAGTATTTCATTTGGTATTAGTCTATGGAAAAAATACACTTAAAATGAACCAATTTCCAAATTTTTATTTAAAGACCATAAACTATTTGACAAACCAGTTGTTACTGAGATTTGGAAATCTATAAATATGTTGGTTACAAATGTTACATAAGAAAGTATCGATAATAAAATTTCCAGAACTATAAGATATATCTGAACAAGTTTTTGAAATAAACTTAACCAAGAACAGAATCTACATTCGTTGTACATATATAATGGTATTATAGGGAATTTTATTTGCCATTAATAAATATAATGCATGATAATGTGATCGATTTGAGCAACAAGAAAATCTATTAGTTAAGACAGCAACATGAGACATAAAATAGTAATATCATGATAGTAATGCATTCAATTTTTTACAACAAAGCTTTACCTGATAAATCTGAACGCAATGAAGTTTGTTCACTATCCGTCTCATGAATTCCATCAGATGGTTGTAGATTGAAACTTGCATTCTCATTCGATTCATTAATCAAGACTACATGTGACTCTAGTCTTGGATTATCCGTTTCTCCTACATTAAGCCATGTATCGCTACAGATATCATATCGAATGATGGATTTTTCAAAATTCAATGTAGGAATATCTAATTCAGTTACTGGGTTGAATGCTGACAATCGCGAGGAAACATAATTCCGCCTGTTTGACGAAGGGTTAGTTTCTTGTAAATGATTCATAATTACACGATCTGATGAATGATGTCGATGATTAGAGTTTATAGACATTGTTACACCACCGAATACAAAAATGTACCGGCTACCAACAGAAACAGAAAAATGCCGAGCCCTCGCCTGCGGCATACATTTGCGTTGACTCCATGAAGATCGAACGGGTGAATACGCATACACTGAATCCATGAGTGTACCGGCCTATGGGAAGAAACAAACTGATTTAATAGGCTATGAAGTACATCTAGTGTATGGTGGCTAACCAAACTATATGACTGCTTAACCGTTGGTAGATAGAACGGGATTTAAACCTGTAAAAGTCGTGTCTAAAATACCAAATCAAAGTTACATAAAAGATAAAGTGATGAATATCAGTTATCACTATAGATAACAATGAGAGAGAAACTGGAAGATAGTAATTATTAGACTACACTAAGAAAGTTATGTAAATTTATAGAATTTTGCTTGATAAAAAGCGAAATAATTATATAAATTAGTCAGTCGGTGGTAGCTGATACAGGATTGTCCTCAATCGCTAATGAGCTTTACTAACGACTCAGGAGTGAACGTTACAGGAAGACAATGTGAATGTTCTCGAGACCGCAGGAAAACTTGTTTATGAATAAAAATTCATCTAGAACTCGGACCGAAAACAACATCCTAGTGGTTGCTTGCAATCATAAAAAAAAATCAAAATGTATAAAAACACTAAATCTTTTCAAATAATATTCTAGCTTGGTGACTATTTTGAAAAATTCAAATAGAAAACTCACTTTAATTCCACCAATAACAAATAGAGTATTTGCAATGACAGACACAGAGAACCACGCTAAACTATCCACGGGCATAGAAGGACAAGTATGCCATACTGTTCTAGATGGTGAAAATGACTGCATACAATTTAAAATGCATGTATTGAGACCACCTAAAACAACTAACGTAGGATGTTTCAGTGTAGCTAGGCGAGCTGGTAAATTGTTGACATACATTGATGGATTATCATCACCGTTATAAGCGTTGTGAAGAAAATATCTGATGATATTCTGAGCAATTTTGCATTCCTAAAATAATTCATTTAAAAGTTTGATTACTTTTCTCCAAAAATTTACAATCGCTTAATAAATCAAAACTATTCTAGGCAATCATCAACATGTTTTTCAGAATATTTCTGAGAAGAGTAGCAACATGAAATATTCAGACAAAAAGGACCATGATAAGGATTGTAAATATATGGAGTAGCATAATCTGGTAGAATCCAAATACACATAAATTTATATTAAGTACAGACAGGTACTGCTTTGGTCCACATAACTTAACACCATATTTCATGACTAAACCAGATAAACTGAGGTTGTAGTTTACACTTCAAACTATATAATTATGATAATTGTTAAACAAACGGGCGATTAAATCTAGAGATTCTAGTCACTTCGCCTTGGAAACTGCCACTTCTTTTTCTAGAAAACTTATTTGTAATCAAAATTAACGCTAGTTTCATTAGTGAGTGATACTTGTCAGCATTCCAATTCTAAATATTTTTGCATTTTGAATATTATACAGCCCCCTAGACTTAGTGTATCTGCGTTCGTGTGGCCTTTTTAAATAAAAACTAGTTCGCTTATAAGGTTATATGCTTAAAATTGTAATCGAGTCAAAATATGCACAAGAAAATGAGTTTCAACTGTACATTTAATAAAATAGGGATATCTAAACATTCTAATATATATTGCAGTCTGTAAAAAGTTTATAAAACTATATTTGAAGATTTACTGAGTTTTATTAGGTTTATATACCAATAAGAATTATGTGGTGTATTGTTTAAAACTTGTATATGTTTACACCAAGATATAAATTTATACCAAAACTTATACACTACGAAACGAACAAGTATAATGGACATCCCAAAGTGAAAGGTGACTGATGAATGTAATCAGTGACCTAATTGTATATTTCACCATTAACAAAATTGGTGTGAATGAAAATTATGCAGAGAAAAATCCGTATAAATTTAAATAATGTCTGTGTGCAAAATAATCATTCACTGTAAGTGGAATAAAAGAAAATGGGAAATAAGGTCATTTATATTATTCACTCGAATGATCAATAAACAGACAAACTAAATCTATGTACTTTTTTCGTTCTTGAAATTCAACATTGAATTGACCAATCCTTTTTGACATACGGGTTTTATTGGTAGATAAATATTAAAAATGTAGGGCTTGGTACAAATTAGTATCAACCTGAGTTGTTATACACTACACATCAACATAACTGATAGAAGTCAACACGAGGAAAAGTAAAGAGATGGACAGTGATACCAAGCCCTAAAGTAAGTTTAGAAGCAAGAATTGAACATTCATAGGTTTTAAAAAGACTGATAAAATGTGAGAAGAAAAAGAATTAGACAAATGTAAATTTTAGGATTAGAAAGAGATAAACGATGGGTCAGAACCATCGTAATCAGTTTTCAACTGTATCACCTAAATTATTCATATATAGAATACAATTATCTCATAGGCGTGGATCAGTCAATCAGCCTTGATGTCGACTGTATTTTCATCTTCATTGTACATTTAACGATTAGAACTGAAACACAGTAACCTGCACTTCTCCATATTTGGAACTCATTGATATATATATGTACCTATAACGCGGTGAGTGATTGTATTCTCATTGAGATTTGAACTAAGCACTCATTGCGTTAAATGAAAAAGGATTATCTACTAGGTTGAAGTGAAAAACATTCATTAGTATGCAAAGACGTATGACTGGTCACTTGAGATCAGGATGATGTGTGTAGCCCGAACTCCTATATTAGCATAACTACATATACAAACTTGTGTCACAATTTACTTTATCAATAATACGAGGTACGAATGAGGACTTTAAGCCAAAAAGATGAAAAGAATATATTTATTATTATAAACATACATATTAAGAACTTAACATCCCAGTATGACATGATAGAACATTACAGAGAAATAATTCCGCTTTATATACTTTTTCTTATGAATTTATGTATAAATCGGATATACGCAAGCTAGATAGCCCAAGATAACCAACAGTCGCTACTGGAAGACATCAAATGATTAAATTATGACTTTGAAAAAATTCAGTTGGTCGTACAGTTTTACTTTTTCTCAGAGCAGCAAAAGTGTTATTTGGGTTTGTTTGGATTCTTTGAAATATTCATTAGAGGATAAAAACAATTGAGCAATACTAAGTTCTAAAGAATAGCATAGCAGTCGACTAATAGTCTCGGGTTTTCTTGAGCTCGTTAGTTATTTAGCTTCCTTTTCAAAAGAAAAAAATCTTTGAGTATATAGATGACATTCTGCTTTGTGAACTCAATTATATACATCATTCGCTGTATATAAGTAAAGTATTCTTACAATAATTAAAGGATTTTCTTGTAATTGAATTTCCAACATTTCTTTTTCCAAATATTTCAAACGAATATGTGACAGTAGTTGAGGGAGGTAGACAATTCGTGTTTCAGAAGACTGGTCGACCCAATTAATACAAGCATCCCATACAAACTAAAATACGATTCAAGAAGATATGAATGAAAACGCTTGAATATATAAAAGTAGTAGCAATTATAACAGTATTTCTATGGAATAAATGGACTGCGGCTAGCAGTTAACTCCAGGATCCACACTTCGTCCTATTTAGGACTCATTAGCTGAGTGTACGTGCATCCCAGTATTGATATTTACATTGAGACCCGAATGTAGTAAATTTCGCTTCAGACACCAACGTGCTGTCCACTGAGCTACTGAGTTTAGATATCCACTAACTTGTTCAACGGGTATGATGCTTATATCATCACATAGTAATATTCAGGGCTGAGATGTGATGCACATACACCAACAAAGACTGATCGAAATTCAACCCAGAATATCAAAAACAGGATAATTCGAAGCTTTTCTAGTAATGGTAGGTTAGAATTTACATTACCAAGTCTATTTTCCCCAATATTCAAGAAATACATTGTTAATTTGATATGTAATTCTAAAAGATTGGTTAGTTTACGGCCACTTTACATTAAAGAACAACTATTAACAAATGTTATTCTTCTCTGATTGGACACTTAAGACTTATTAGTAGTATCCAATCTTGACACCTTAAAGAATAGTTCACATTGGCTCCAGGTCATAGGATAAGAATCGGCATTGGTTTATAAAGACTAATTTAGCTTTCTACAATTGATAACAATGAATAACAATCCTTCAAAGTCGTTAATTGGTTTTATTTACCAAAAAATCATTAGGCTTTGTAAATTACGGGTTTCCTATTGAAAATCCGATAAATTAAGCAACAAATACGAAGATGTGCATTCGGCCAATCCAGTTTTATGATTATTACAACTTAATTCCAGATATTATCTTTATCCATTTAAGGTGAAAACCTCTGAAAAAAATCCAACGGAGTAGATAAAAACTGTTGTGTTTGTTAAACCATTGGGTAGAGTCGCATTTAAGTTTGTTGTACTTAAAAATTGTGAACAAGGATAACTAGCAATGTACAATAATTGTTAAAGGATAAAAGATATATTGGTAGTTACATATCTCTAATATCTCTCAATTGATAAAATTTTATTCATATGAAAGGTCGTATTTAAATATTTACTCTAACAACAATCGTAGGACTCACTTGTTCCGAAGGTACATCCAAATCATCTGAAGAGATATATGAAATGACAGTCGAAATAGGCAAACTGGTCCATTCGTTAGATTCTCTTAGTAAGCTGTTATCATAAACACAGGAAATAAGAACTTTAGCATAATAAACAATAATACTGAGTTTCTTTAGTACAATTTGCATACTTGTCATAGTAGTACTGACTAGACATGTACATGTGCACAAATCTATGAGCATCACCAGTTAGAAATCTAATATTCCAAAACACCGATGAAATGCTGCCCTTTTTCCTGATTTTTGCTTTCACATCTGCATTAGACCCCCTTTACCGATGATACAGCCCAGGTACGTAAGTTTTAACTGCTTCCAGGGATTCTCCATTAAGTGATTTGGTTGAATTTTAGTATCTTGCTTTTTCCCTTGTGAATGTTGAGACCTACTACTGCAGATGCTCCTGCTACACTAGTTGTCTTCACCTGCCGTGTATGGGATAGAAGAGCTAGGCCAGTTGCGGAGGTTACATCCAAGATGTTCATTGTATTCCATGCTTCCCTTGAGCTTTGATCTTTATAGATTAGTCAATAACCAGGAGAAAGAGAAAAGGAAATAGTAAGCTGCCTTGTCTGACACTGGTCTTCACTTGAAATATATCTGTTAACTGCCGTTCATACACGATTTTGCAGTGTAGTTCATTGTAGGAATTCCGCATGATTATGATACTTTATGCATAAGACAATGTCGAAGAAGGGTCGATAAGGTCCTCCCACCCACGCTGTCAAATGTTTCCTCATAGTCAAGAAAGTTTATGCATAGTGATGAATTATATTTCATTTATTGTTCAACAACGATCCACAGAGTCGCGATTTGGTCAGTAAAGCATCGACTCTTACGACAGCCAGATTGTTGGTTCTTAAGTTTAGGATCTACTGAATCTTTCATTTGGTTTGACAACACTCTTAAAAACGTTTCTTGGCAATTATAGCAGTGTTGCCATCGTAGTTCTCACACTTACAAAGACTTCCTTTGTTCAGCATCTTGATAAGGTATCATCCATTCCAGTCTATTGGTACTTGTCCTTTCTTCCACAGCTTTTGAAGAGAATGTGGGACATTTTTGTAGTTACCTTATAGCGACTCACGTGCAAATGGGTTTATTCTCATTTAACTCAGTTAAGCCCTTTTGCTAACTTATTTAGCGGACAAAGCCATCCGCACTATAACAATTTATTGTACCCTTATTATTATTTTGTGCTTGTATGAAATACGCATGCTTGAATATTGCTTACGGCCTACGCATTTATGTCACTCTGCTAGTCTCACTACTAACCGCTTATTTGATTCGATTACTCATTAATTTCACATGCTATATATATGTCCACGTTATTCATATGGTTGACTCTGCTTTCTCGCTCGCTTGCCTGTTTGCCGTTCGACATAACTCTTAATGCTCGTTTAATGCATCTGTAATTTTTGGACATCTGTGTGTGTGGTCTCGAAATAAACGTAATCAACGCTTCGTATTCGCCTTCTGAATAATATACCGTTGGGGTTAAATAGGACGGTTATCAAGACGAATTGTATACGAAGTTTAAGAGATATATCGAATACCGACCACCACAACCTCTACATCTGACTTCAGTGCTTCGGCTGGTATGCTGTCTAGTCTTGCTGCTTTGCCATTCTTGACTTGTCTGATAACCATCCCGATTTCTTCAGTTGCTGATACGGTTACATCTATGGGAAGTTTTGTAGGTGCTTCTTCGATGGGTGAGTGGGGCTAATTTACTCAAGAATTCTTCAGAGAGTTCTACCTACCTGTTCAGCTGTTCTTGAATCTCAGTGATTGGTTTGTCTTCTTTGTTCATGACTGGTCACTCTGGTTTACTATGTTTCCATACTAGTCTCTTCGTTGTGTCATGTAGTTGTTTCATATTTCCCTCTCTTGCAGCTTTTTCCACTGTCACTATTAGGTCTTCCACGTATTTCCGCTTGTCGGTTTTCATGCTCCATAATACTTGCTTGTTAGCTTCCGTGTATTCAGCTTGTGCCTTAACATTCCCCGTTCTTGTTTGGCTATTGTTAATTGCCGTCTTTGTGTTCTTCCTTTCTTGAGTCTCACACAGGGCTTCCACAGAGATCCATTCCCTATGATGATTTCTCTTGCGACCCAGAACCTTCTCATGCGTTAAAGTGCTTTGTTAATCCCCTTCCAGTTGTTCGCCATATTAGTTTCCTCTTCTTTAAGTAGATTTTGTAAGGCTTGGAACCTGTTGATAAGAGCCATCTTGAACTCGTTGGGTTTGTCAATATCTCGACGGAAAGCTGTATTAAACTTTCGTGGTTTTGCCCACCTAATTGTCTAACGCTTCATCAGCTATATTTTCATCCGGATCACCACTAGGTGGTGATCTGAAGCTATATTAGCTCCCCTTCTTGTTTTGGAGGGTGCTTTGGTGATACTGGATCCGTGAGAGTACCATCCTACAAGTGTTTTACGTACTTCTTTGAACAGCATCAGGACAATTCCTTGTGTGAGCTGTTTCTTTTTCATCACCAGAGTAAAATAGCACCTCCACCAGAAGCTTATCTTTACTGTTTAGCTTGCTCCCCATGGGGTTACTTATTTCAAGCACTGCCAGGTTGTATACTCTCATTTTCCCAACTGCCTAATGATAATTCCGGTCTCCCACACTGTATGAACACTCCATGTATCTATATTAATTATTGCTTTGGTTGTTAGAAAGGGCATCGGCTTTGTGATTTTCGAATAATTTCAGCTTTTATCATGAGGCGTCATAACTCTTATAAATGGAGACCTTTCAAGTTGCGGCGCAGAGTCTAAATGAATGAAATGAATTTTTCCGGCCAGCGTCTTTTTTTTAGCAAAGTTCTTTTCACAGAATGTCATTACTAACTGCATGGTCAACCGTCTTCCTTTATCCGGACTTGGGAGCGGCAGTAACCTTAAAAAGACTAAGGGTTGTTTTATTATTACAAGAGTTAATAAACCAACAGTAACCATTCTTGCAGAAGAATATAAATTCAATAAACGAAATTATATATATGCCTACTTCGCTAATAAAAAAAACTTTAGAACCTGAAAGTAGATCTCGAACTTGTTTTAATCAGTATTTGTCAATTGTCGGTTGGTCGTTTGTTTAAGTTTTATAATATAATTGTGATTGATTTTAGGTTGGGCCTACGGTAATTTGAGAATCTTTTAATGCTAACAAGACTAATGAGAACTTGACAGAATGGACGTCTAAGAAAAACACTTCAACGTTAATAATCCACACACCAAATAGAGAAGGGACGTTTTAGGACAACTTTATCTTTCGAATCAAAGATCAAAAATTTGGCAACTCCGTTTACAAAGTAACACTCATTGACGTTGGGATGCATAAGACAACTAGCAGCCTGTAATTAAAAACAACTAATCTGATAACAGTGTAGATCACTACTGAAATATAATTTAGAAAAATGTCATCGAGATTATTCTTTAAGAAAAAAAGATAACATGTAAGTAATCTGAGTTCTCCTTAGCAGTTTATACTGGCGAATTGGTAATATGTTACTCGGTTCGACGATTTCGTCTTCGGGCGCTCTCCGTAATCTGAGTGGATTTTTTTATAACTTGCATGAAATTTATGCATCAATGTTAGACACTTTTCTTGTTGTAAATGTCTAGTAAGTAAACGATAATGTGTAATTTTAGATTACAATTCTAATATCCAACATTTTTTAATTCCTAAGATGACAGAAATACCTCGAGCAGAACAACTTGAATCGACCCAGAATTTTTCTTACGATAATCACATTCAGTCAACTAATGGTGAGGATGATGTTTTCAAGCCTCCATCACCGATCCACATAACGATGAAGACTGGGGGGGACCGTCTATGATGAATCAAATTATAACACACTGGATTCTATTGATTTAAACGATTTAGATGGGTCTGTAGCTTTGGATTACGTGTATCATATTAACTGTCAGCATCCAAGGTACCATTGTCTTAATTACATCTATTGATTTTTTTAGCCGGACTAAACTGTTCACCATCTGATTACTGTTATTTCGCATAAATAAGTTCGTGTTATTCAGGAGTAGAAAGAAAAGTAACTTGTTTAAAGCATCGTAACTATTTGTAAATTTTGTGAAGCTTTTTCAGACGCTTTTCCCAAATGTTTAATTACATCAGGATCAGTGGTCATATGTAGACAATAAAAACCAACTTGTCCTGTCAAATGAGAGTGATTTCCCTCTATTTTCGTGTTAAAGTAACTAGAGGTTCTTTATTTAATTAGATTTTTGGTTTATTTAGCAAGAGTAATTAATTCTGGAACCCTAGAAGGGCTCTAGGCCGAACAAATCTATTAAAAATAACCTGTTCGGTTTAAGGTTATGATTATCTACATGAATAAATACATGGAGCAATTGAGAATTCGATGATGCTTAATAGATGTGGAACAAGAATTAGTCTTTTAGGTTTAGGAAATGTACCAATTGATCCGAATCCTTTGTTTTCTTAACAACATTGTCATTATGATAAATGAATTATTATCATGTATTCTCTACACAAATATAATAAAACTACTAAAAGGGAGTTTTTACCAACTTTAAAATTTCCGAGAACATTGATAATCGTGGTAAAATTGGCAAAAAAAAAATTGGTCAGCAGAATTTGTGGTATTTCATTTGACATAGGGATGTAAAAGTTAATAAATGTATTCAACAATTTACATATTCGAAAATACCAAACAATAGTAATGTACTATTCCATTATGTAAATTAAATATTGAACGAAAACGAACTAGATTAATGGATTTCAATTATTTTATCATTAGTTGAGTGGACTCAGTACATATTTTTTAACATCATAAAGTACGATATACGGAAGTGGTATGTATGACTTCAAGGAATGTATGTGAATTATCTCATGAAATTCACGATGTGAATTATATAAGACGAATGGAGCATGTGTTGCGCGTACCGGACACTTGCTTGTGTTAACCTCCAATTTTAAATAACCCATGTTTAACTGCCATGAAGTAGGACGGAACGAACTGCTGCGCAGTAAACCCGTCCTTTGGTTGGTAGACGGATATCTTGCATTGTTGCTTATGGTGGTCAGAAGACTGCATTTTGTCAGCGTGTTTACCAAATAGAACTATATCGTCGGCATATTCTAAGTCCTCTTTTCAGCGAATTCATTTTCAAAGCTGTACAATCGCAAATATATATACTTATTTTTCACCCTGTAAAAATAAGTATACATATTTGCGATTGTACAGCTTTGAAAATGAATTCGCCAAAAAAAGAGAGCTCTTCGCTGAAATAATCTTTCTTTCTTAATGTCATAATGAGTGTATTCCGTTTATATTCTAAGTCAACAAGTGAATCTCCCCGTAAAAGTTCAACTCCTGGAAATTTAGATGAGGAAAGTGTTATCTCTAAAAGTACGTCAATGACACAGTTAAACAAGAATGGAGAGAGTAAACAGCCCTGACGAACAACACTTGAGGTAATCAATTCTGATGACAGTTCGCCATAAGCTCTCACTCGATTAGTTGTGTTTGAGTAGAGAGCCTTTATAAGGTTAGTGTACTTCTTTGGTACTCCTTTCAGTGACAAACACTGCCATAGAACCTCACGATCAATAGAGTCAAATGACGCCTTAATGTTGAGAAATACTACGATTGTGGGGCGTCTGAATGTGTGTCTATGTTCTAGGACCTGACGTAGCGTGAATATGTGGTCTATACAACCACGTCCAGGTCGAAAACCGGCCTGGTTTTCTCTAGTTTGCTCTTCACGAGCTTTAGTTAGGCGTCGAAGTATTATTGAAGCTAATATTTTAGACACTATATTAGTCAAACTGATTCCTCTGTGATTGTCACAATCAGTGATTGAGACCAGTCAGATGTGATTACGTCCAGTTCCCAGATTCTACCTAAGACCTCAGTTAATCTCACTGCTAATACTGGACCACCATCCTTAAGAATCTCAGGGGTAAACCTGTCAGGGCCTGCTGCTCTCCCACGCTTCAGATTTCCTATAGCTTTTTCAACTTCGTAAAGAGTTGGAGGACCTACAATAACTTGTCATTCAGGTTGACTGGAAATCGTGAAAAACCGAAGTGTGGCTGAAGGTCAGTTGAACTGATCCCTAAAGTGTTCTGCCCATCGATCCAATCTCCTGAATAATATGTCCGTCTTTCTTTGAGATTGTTTCGCTAACAGTCGGGTTCCTAATACCGGTTTCCTTAACAAGTCTGAACAGTTGTCTGCTGTTGTCTATTGCCTCTGCCTTTTCCATCTCTTGCTTTCGCTACCCACCACTGTTCGCGATCGTTGCGTAGGCTCCTTATCAGCCTACGCTTAAGCTGACTCTGCTCTTCGTTATGTTCAGATCCAGATAGAGTGAGTTTTCGAGCATCTATCAGTGCGGTAGGTGCTGCTGAGATCCAGGGTTGCTCCCTAACCTTGTGGTTTTTCGTACTGGCAGACATCACTGCTGTTTCCACAGCTTTCCGGATATCATTCCACGCTACCTCGGGGTGGGCATCACCTACATGGCTGCCTAACTGTTTTCCTAGTTGTTCCTGGAATATACTCTTAGCTTGATTATCATTAAAATATGACCCTAAGAGGTTTCCCTGCAGCATCTTTCTTACGTCGAGTAAGACGCAGACAAATACGCACTCGCATTAGAGCATGATCTGAATCTGAATGTGCTCCAGAATAAGCGACAGTCTTCTATTGAGCCCCTTCATCGGTGGCTGATAGCGATGTGATCTATTTGGGTCCAACGTTAGGACGAATTAGGGGGTCGCCATGTTAAAAGATGATTTTCCTTATGCTTGAAGTTAGTATTTGCAAGAAACAGGCGGTTATCTGAGCATAGCTGCAACAGACGGTCGCCATTATCTGTTCTTTGAGCCACGACACCATAAGATCCACCTAGGTGTCTTTCCCTTTCGCTTAGTTTACCTACTTGAGCATTAAAGTCACCAGCCACTATTACTACATCAGAGCGTCTAGCTTTTCGAAGAAGGTCGGAAAGCTTTCTGTAAAACTCATCTTTTACATTATCTGAGTTGCAGTCAGTTGGAGAATGGGCAGAGACGACGAAGAGGCAACGACGAGTGTCCCTATCTTTTCGGATCCTTATTGTTTCGTTTAGTCGGACAGCGCACAAACGACTGTCTACTGGGATCCACTCTAAGAGAACTAGTTCTGCCCTAGGACTCAATGCTATACTTACGCCAGCGAGGCCACGGGAAGCAGAATCAGGGTTTCCAGATACACGAAGCGTGAATCGAGTTGGTTCTTTATTTTTGATATGGTCAAGTCAAATGAATGACGCTACTTGGATGCTGCATGCGCGTTTCGGAGACGCAGTACACATCGATGGTGCGAGATTCTAGAGTCCTAGCTAGGGAACCCCGTTGTCTTATTCGGCTCAGTGTTCGGACGTTAAAAGCAGCTACGGTCGGGGGGCACCAAATACATATGCGCCACACAATAACAGGTTGCAAAGAGATAGAGAACGTAAAGTGCGTATAATAAAGAGAAGAACAACAACAAACAGAAATTAGTGTATGAGAGTGAAATGATAATAATAATAATAATGGAGGAGACAGTTCAGTTAGCAAAAATACGACCAGAAACAATTCCATCAAACAAAGAAGTTACGTTCACTTTTATGAAGAAAGAGATAGTTGCAGCAGGATCCCCATGGGCTTCTATTCTGAGCTATTGAGTAAGAGTAAAAACTCAAATCCAGTAAGCACTGAAAGTGAATGACCATGCTCTGACTAACGGTTGACAAACCACACAAAACCAAAGCAATAATAGACGAAATTCATGTTCAGAAAATGACGACAAATGCGCAAGAGTCCCAGATACCTATTTGCTTTTGACTCTTCAACATTGTTTATATTTTAGTACATACACTGAAAAATATTTGTTTGACATATTGAAAGTATATTTATACATGAAATTTATGTATGCATCATATGTGACAGAGAAGGCCGTTGAAGTAAACCTAAGAACCATTTTTTTCTGAAAATAACTACTCAATATTTCAGCGCAACATTTCAAAAAGACATATTAACACTACGAAATGCACGGAATCAAGCAAATGTTTTTTCCTACTTTGTACTCATTAGCGAGATCCAATCAGACCCTAACAGACGTTAAAGCATGTAAATGTACCCTTGTTTGAGAACAGCCTTAAACTAGTCAATAGATAGAAAAGTTGCGCTAATATATCACATAGTTCTGATAATCTTCGTCTTCTAATATCATTATCGAAAGACAGAAAAATAAAAAAAAAATGTTTTACCTTGAGAAATTTTCTACCGCCAATTTATGAGACGATTGAGCTAAATCAGTAATATTGTGCATTTCAGCCAATGCCTCGATACCTAAACAATTTGTAACATCTAAATGACTCTTCATGAATTCAACACAATATTTGATAGCTATTGGATAGTCAAGTAAACTAGCAGCAAGAAATATATCTTGTACAGTGGCTTCTGTAATTTCTAAGCAACCAAGATATGCAAAATCAAGCAAACGACGAAGAGCCCAAGGAGAAATATAATCTAACTTAACTCGAGATGTTTGTTGTTCTTTATAAGGTGATGAAAACATGGCCTACAGAAATGAATAGAAATAGAAGCTGTATTAGAATTTAAATACAACTGAATATATGGCTACTGTATTTCAGAATATTCACAACATTGATTTTCATCATCACTATAAATTTACTGTTACTTTATTTTGAAATATGAATCACGAAGGACTACAAAATGTAGAAAAAAGGCCCCCAAATGCCCTGGTATGGCCGAGAGCGGGGTGGGCTCGCCCTCTCTCTCGAAATACTCTCACACGGCCACGCGTATACAGCCTCTTCCAGGGAAGTCCTACTCACTGCCTTCTCGCATCACGGGTGTTGTTTACGAAAATGAGAGGACGAAAAGCGAATGTCCGGCGCTTTAACCGGATCCAAAACCAATGGTGCACATGGGCTCCAGTATCCTGAGGGAACAAATGGCGTATGAACCAATCGTTGGTCACCGGCTACCATGGGACTGCATCTCCTCACGATGCTCCACTGCCTTGTGGATTAGGCCTTCAGGTCGAAGGCTCGGGGTGTGGCCCCCTAAGGAAACCACCTGCTTCGGTCTGGGCACCCGGGCAGTATCACAGCCCACGCACAATTATGATGAACTATCTATATTTATAGAAAATACTATTCTTGCTGCGATTAACAATCAAATGATTCACATTATTATTATTATTTACCACGTCACTTATCCACTCTCTTTTATTCCCACTCTGTGTATCCTTATTTTTCGACTTATACAGCAGCTCGCCTATGGTGAAAACTCGGTTCTATCTAAACGTTCTCGAGTCACTGCCTGATTGAAAATTGTATGATACCACTAAATACGAATACTGAAGCAGTTTTTCTGAAACCACGTGCACCATTCAAGCTGGCTGCCTTCAACGTTCGCACACTTATGCAGGTCGGACAACAGATAGGGCTGGCTATGTCTTTGGAAAGTCTTAATATCGACGTTTGTTGTCTAACCGAGATCCGTGTTCAAAACTCTGGTGAAGTACTACAAATTAGCTCTCCATCTGTCGCTTCAAAAAGATTGTTTTACGTGCGTTTATCCAGGGACCCTGTGGCATCTTCGTCTGGTGTTACTAGAGTTGGTGTCGCACTAAGCGCTAGAGCTGAGGCAGCACTAATCGATTGGATCCCCATTAACAGTCGGTTATGTGCTGTTAGATTAGAAAGTCCCATCAAAGTGAGAAGAAATCGGCGTGAGAAACCATGTCTTTTCGTCATGCAATCAAGGATAAATTCTACCACCAATTAACTGTTCTTCTCCAGAAACTGCGTTCGACAGATATTGTAGTACTAGCCGGAGACTTGAATGCTCAGGTCGGGCGTCTAGGCACAGAAGAGAGTCGTTTAGGTGGCCGATGGGGACTTGTTGGTCGCAGGACAGATAACGGGGACCGTCTACTGCAACTGTGCACAGACCACAACCTGTTTCTGGCTAGTACTAACTTTCGGCACAGTCATCGCCGATGTGCCACCTGGCGTCCTCCCTCTGCATCTCAAGCCTGGACTCAGATTGATCACATCGCGATCAGCTACCGCTGGCGTGGTTGTGTACAAGACTGCCGCTCCTTTTGGAGTACCTATCTGGACTCTGATCATGCCTTGGTCTGCGCCAATCTTACCTTACTTCTCAGTGGACAACGAAGTGACCGCCACCAACGGACTGATGTTAGCAAGCTGGTTGCAACTTCTGTTGCTAGTACGTATCGAACCGAGCTAGCTTGTAGGCTAGCTACTATTCCACCGAAAAGTATAGATGAGCATTGGTTGCAATTGCATGACGCCATGAAAATGGCGGGTACAGTCAGTTGTGGGTTCGTGAAACGTCCCGCTTATAAGCATTTAGTTTCTTCAGGCTCCTTACAACTCATTGAAACCCGTCGGTCTACTCCGGGTGACCGTGAGTTTGACCATAAACGAAGGATGCTACGTAAGGGAATTGGGCAAAGCTTGCGTAAGGACCGACAAGCCTGGTGGTCGGAGCGTGCTAATGAGTTGGAAGCAGCAGCTGCATCTGGTAACTGCTGGAAGCTCTTCCAACTCATCCAAGCCACTGGCAGCTAGAAGTCTGGTGTGAGCGAAACAATCTGTGAGGATGACGGGATGCCAATCACTAACATCCATCGACGTCTTGGACGATAGGCAGAATTTTTCGAAGGGCAGTTCAACTGGCCTGCTGCTCAGGCAACATCGGCCAGACTGTCCTGCCCTCCATGGCCGGTGATGACTGATTCACCAAATGAGGCGGAAGTCCGCAAGGAACTCCAACTCTTGAAGCGTTACAAATCACCTGGACCAGATGACTTACCTCCGGCTCTTTTTAAATATGGTGGTGACTTTCTGACTGAGGAATTGACGACGTTGTTTACAAAGGTCTGGGAACTAGAGAGTGTACCAATGTCATGGGATGAGTCGATAGTTATCCCTATCTTAAAAAGGTTCACGTCGTTCCTGTAACAACTATCGGGGGATAAGTCTACTTCTAATTGAGTCCGAGCTATCGGCTTCCGTCATACTTCGTAGGTTGTTCAAAACCCGAGAAAGATTGACTCGCGAGGAGCAGGCTGGGTTTCGTTCTGGTCGAGGATGTATTGATCATATCTTCACCCTCCGCCAAATGTTAGAACACCGCCATACTTGTCAAAGGCCAACAACCATAGTGTTTCTTGACATCATGGCTGCCTTCGATTCATTGGACAGGACTGTTATCTGGGATTGTCTATTGAAGAAGGGTGTGCCTGAGAAGTTTATCAACATCCTAAAGGCCCTATATGCAAACACTTCAGGCAGAGTGAGAGCATACAATCACCTTTCTCCCTTGTTCCACTCAAGCAGTCAGGTTAGGCAAAGTTGCCCAATCTCACCATTCCTCTTCAATTATACCATCGATGACATTCTGGAAACAGCTCTGATCGATGTAGGTAATGGTGGTGTGAATCTGTTGCGTGGAGAAAGACTTTCTGACCCTGACCATCCTGATGATATTGTCTTCCTGTGTGATGAAATCCATGCCATGCAATCCGCACTTAATCAGTTGGCAATCAATGTCCGTAGGTATGGTATGAGCTTTGCACCTTCGAAGTGCAAAGTGCTTCTACAAGATTGGCAGGATTCTAATCCTGTACTCACTCTGGATGGTGAGCAGATAGAAGTAGTCGAAAAGTTCGTGTATCTGGGTAGCTGCATAAGTGCTGGTGGTGGTGTGAGTGATGAGATCAATGCACGTATAGTGAAAACCAGAGAGGCTTATGCCAATCTGGGCCACCTTTGGCGCCTTCGTCATGTTATTCTAGCTGTAAAAGGTCGGGTCTACAACGCGTCGGCGAGAGCAGTTTTGCTCTATGCTTGTGAAACCTTGCCTCTCCGAGTTGAGGAGGTTAGACGACTCTCTATGTGTTCGATCATCGCTGTGTCCGAAGGATTACTGACATCCAGTGGCAACAGCATGTTAGTAATACAGAGGTTCGGCATCGTGTGTTCGGGCACAGAGACGATAATTCAATTGGTGTCACCATCTTGAAACACCGACTTCGGTGGCTTGGACATGTTCTACGAATGTCATCCCAGAGAATTCCTCGTCGTGCATTATTTGCCGACGCTGGGACTGGTTGGAAAAAGTGGAGAGGTGGTCAGTGTATGAAAGAACTCTGTAATGGGCTGGCTTGTGTTGGTCCTTCACGACTCCCTGGCTGGGGTCCGGGAGATGGTGCGACACAGTGGCTAGAGACGTTATCAGACATGGCCCAGAATAGAAGCCTGTGGCGATCCTGCTGTAACCTTTTACTTTCTTCATAAAAAGTGGTTACTTCTTCCTTAACTGAAAGAATTCTTCTGTTTGTACCTTTTCGTTCCCACCATTATTATTATTACACTACTTACCTTATTCTGTTCTTTATTGCTTTTTTTAAAGCTCCTCACCTTTTTTCCCTCTTCTCTTCAAATTCCCATTATTTCGTGTGGCGCATGTATATTTAGTGCCCTCTTTTAACAATATTTATGTGTTCAAATAAATAGAAAAAAGAATTCAACGGTGGTTTATTGAGAGAGTAACAATTCATCCAATAAAGCAGCCTAGTCTATAAAACCATATTGGAAAATATATCATAATAATGATGAATCGAAGGTACCAAATGGAAGAACTTGCAGTTGTCGAAATTTTGTTTTACTGAGATATGAAGCTGCTGATGTTACGGCAGGTGGACTTAAGTACATTAATTTGTACGCAAATGTTGAAGCCCTTGACACAATCATGATCAATCAAAAGATTTGAATAACCAACACAAATGAAACAGGAGTCGAGTCATACAATCAACTATTTTTCTAAATCGAAAACCTCGAAACTTACTAAGAAATATGTTGAACTAGCAGCTAGTACTGCCTTGTGGCAAGGGAGTTCTTCATCACCAGCACATAATATAACATCAGTGAAGAGTGAACGATCTCGGAAAGACCGCAACGACTTCGTCATCTGAACAAGCTGTTCAGATATATTTTCCGATAGTCTCTCGAACTCCATCATTAGTATATAACCCACATTGAGAATCAAGTTGAATCATGCGAATTTACGAACACTAAAAGTTTATGAGGAGATATTAGCCAATTATATTTGCATTCAAATAAAATACAATAATAAACTGTCAATGGTTTGTACATGAAAAGTGAAATCAACAAGGACAAAAAAATCTAATCTACAGATCGTAATTGCTCAGTAGTACTAGGACCACACAAAAACAAGGTCGTCACACAAGACCTTTTTGTGTTAGCTCCGTACTTGTTGAGACTTGACCACCGGAGACGGATATCCGTGGGATAAGGCAAGGTGTGCATTTTTAGAGTCGACCTTTTCTAGCCCCACCCCTCCTTGTGAGAAGGCAGCATCGCTGTCATGCTGGTTGTATGAAGGAAACACCTTATTGCCGTCACACCTCTGTACAGTCAGCAGTACGACATCGCCTTCGGACCTTGGGTTTATTGCTTTTAGTCTTACCGCTCTTCAACCGACCTGTCTGGCATGGTAGGACCTTGAGGAACGGTTGTTCCAGCCAATAAACGTCTCGAAACGTAAACTCAGTACATTAAATTGAAGCACACCAATCTAAGCAATTAACGTGCTAGTCTACAAATTTCACTTGCAAATTTAAAAGAGAATTAAACAGCCAAAAATTCAGTCCATTTAATCTTCAGAATGATCAAAAGACAGACAAGCACACAACGACTGCTCTTTACCCTGAAAGCTGGCAGCGCAACCTTGAACTTAGGTCATAGAATCCAATACCCAATATCTTTGAAACTAGTTTGTATACACACATATTGATTTCTTCGCTCTCGCTTCATGTTGTTTCGGCAAGGTTTCAGATATTATGTTTCCGTACTTTAAATGGGGACGAATATAACTGTTGAACATTATTTAGAAAGTTCGATCAAACAGCACTTTTGTCGCAAACTACCAACACTTATAGATCCTTTTCAACCTGGAATACCTCTATACGGGAGTTAACTAAGTTGTAGCTGTAATCTGCAACATGTCTCAGATGAACTACTTGACACTTTGAAGTCTTAAAGGTAGGTCCATTGTCATCTGCTCAACTTTGAAGTCAAGTCAGATCCTCCTGAATTGCCAGCTTATCTTCTCGGTTGCATACTTCTCTCCGTGGTTTCACATTATCAGAGAAAAGTAATAAATCTGACGACACCTGCTGCGGAAGATCGTTTATGTAAATCAAGAAAAGAAGAGGTCCTAGTACTGAACCCTGACGGACCACAGTAAAACATTTTATAGCCTGAAAGAAAGAGAAGTTAACCCTGACATTCAAGTGTCGATTGTTCATGTATGAAGTGGGCCGATCAATTAAAGGTAATTCGATACCTAATTGTTTGAGCTTATTGATAAGACATATATGGTTGATCGTATCAAAAGCTTTCGAGAAGTCAAGGTAAATGACGTCAACCTTGCTCTTGCGATCAAGGATGGTTTTCCATCTGTCTACAGCGGCCAGCATGTTGGTTATACAAGACTTACCTTTTCTGAAACCGTGCTGTTGAGGTGAAAAGAAGTTTATGGATAATAAATAGTCCCGTATACCGCCGCATATCAGGGACTCCATAATTTTTGAGGGTATAGGGAGAAGTGCTACCGGCTTTTACTATCACTTGGATGACCTCATCCTTTTGGGTGTCAAAACATGTGGTAGATCAGAATATTCATCCATTTAGGTGCTCTGTATTGTTCTCACTCAAGCAATGTAGGCACGATTCTGTCACCTCGGCTAGTTCAGTACCAGTGTCACGGCTTTGAAGTGACCCTTAGTATATATCACCACCCTACTTGTTTGTATACTCCATAGTATCGTTAAAGTTTTGTGCCTTGGAAGCTCACTTCTTAACCCGTAATGTCAGGTGATAGTCGTGTTTCAGTTGGGGCTATGGTCTTCAGATCCGACCGGAAGGGTATGTTTCTGATTTCGCCCAGTTTACCATTTTACTGTTTTATGTTGCTGTAGAGGCATTTTATGGTTCTTATAGTCACTTGGTGCTACCCGCCCTACAGCGCTATGTCATCTAGATTTTAAAGGGGTTATTGGTTCCGCGGGAACTGGCATCTGCGGGCTTTTTTACCAGTACACCACGTTTCTTAAGGGAGCTTAACGTTTGCTACATTTTGGCACTTATGCAGGTGGCATAGCTTGGCTGAGACGATACCGTTTCCCAGCACTGAACCGTACTTGTCCTACTGTTCTTTATCAAAGCCTGTCCCACTTTTTAACAATCTATTCTGCGACCCTGGTACACCCTATAAAACTGTGTAGTTTTGCCCAGCATCTTTGTCTCAAACTGAACTCACTGCTGCTTGTTGTTAACAGATACTAATGACTTAGCAACGGTGGACAATTTTATTAGCATATGAGCTCGGGTTGTGGCTTCCATATTCATGTGTCTGGTTGAGTGTGTGTCAGACGATTTAGATGTACTACAGGGGATTGATATAGTCGCTTACACGAGGTCTTATACTTTTCCTACGTTAGTTCCGCTAGGGGAATGTTTTCCACACTATGTGTGAACGTACCAAAAAATTGGCCCTCTGAACTTAGACCTCTACATCTACTAGTCGTCCCAGTAGTTATGGTGTAATTACAGGTGGAAAACGCTTTTACGACGAACGCTACTCAAAAGACTAAGTGAGATGGGAGACTACTTAGGGACGAAGTAGGTGAAACGAAAGTTGTGTTTTCGCAAGAGAATGTCTCATGTCTAAGGTATTTCACCAATATTTTACATCTTTGTGATTTCAGGTTTTTTCCCCGAAGACATGGTTAAATCCAAAACGTCTCTTTACGCTTTCAGTCACTTTTTGATTAAACCTTTCGAAATCGCAGACGTTATTACTAGTCAAACCCTAACTGAAGAGGCTCGACCACGGATTCGCATCAGGTCATCATTGGGTACGCCGTACTACTCAGTCCTCTTAACGAGTAACCGGCACAAACTATACACGTTTCGAGTATATCTTCGTACTCCTTTCCTAACTTTTGATTTGACTGGATTGGTATATTTCGATCATAAAGTTTAAACGGATGAAAGTGCCGCCAAACTTTGAATACCCGTGAAATCTTAAGTCCATAACGGCTTGGTCCATTTTTATGGTTTCTTTCCTTCTTCCTCGTCATCGAAAGAGACATTTATTAATAGAATCCGCTGTTCGTCGTCAAGAATACCATATGGTGCGTCAACATCAACAAAGGGTTTACGCACTCTCCAGTCTAATGCCACGTTTCTACTAGATGTTTTTGCTATTCGCCATCATCTGATTTGTAGTATGTCCTATCCTGAATGGCGCCTATTTATATTCGTTAATCCATAGGGCTATGGAATAATATTATAAATTGTGCGATCAGCTCATTGACACTATTTGGACAATTGTTTATATCTATCATAGAGCTTTTACAATGACACGATTGGCTTGCTAATTTAGGAGCTTGAGTTCCAATAAATCAGTCAAAAATTATTGGTCACCTTCAATATCGACGACATGTATAGAATGGCATAATAATTTAAACATGGTTTAGTGTCATTTCCCTAACCCGACAGAACTAGTTATCGTGTATACGAAACTGCTAGAACACGTCTGTAATAAGACTTGCCTGATAAACTGTATAAGATAAAAATGATGGCGTACCATAAAAATGTGAAGGCTTTAATCTGAACTATGGAACGCCAGATTTGGCAAAATTATGTAAAATATCAATCTGTACTAAACTTATCCAAGGACCAACTGGAAGCTGGTTTGTTCTCTCCCACAGTAGGCTGTTGCTGACCGTATCCGGCCAACAGACATTGAGTATCTTGCGTAGACAATTGTTTAGAAATACTTGTACCTTTTGTTGATGGTTGTGATAGTTCTCCAATTTTAAGTTCCGTACAATAGAACTGTTTTGACGTTCGAATTGAAGATTCTCACTTTGGTGTTGGTTGACAATTGTTTTTAGTTCCATATGTTCTTTAACCGTAGGAACGCCACCCCTACTTTACCAATCCTTGCCTTGACGTCTGCATCGGATCATCCGTATTCATCAACGATGCTGTCCAGGTGCGTCAAAGTTTCCACCTCTTCCATAGTTTCTCCATCAAGTGTGATTGGTTGGTGCCTAATTCAACTTACTGCATGAATAAGGCAAATAAAATCAAATTCAGAGCATCAAAGTTAATCTTCCTTGAAAGTTATGCTAGTTTCTGAAGCACTTACTCACTCAATAGACGGAAAACCGTCCAAAAATCCTTGCCAGTGCACGGATGCTGAACAATGAAAAACAAATGCCACAAACTTAGAGCGACAAATACCATCGCCCTGGATTAATGGAGGTGTTCTACTGGCAATCAGAAGTGCACTGTAAAACAGAATATTCAATCAGTAGACTAATCTAGATATAAAATCACCCGGTTATAAATTCATAGCGTTTTACCGCCCTATTTTGTAAAGGGATTTTACATCCTATTTTCACCCACTTAATGATGATAATTTAGGTGTGGTAGACTAAGGTCGTGTCCAAAATTTAATTCAACAGAACTTTCGACCTCATAATGAACAGATGTATTCACTGACTCTAATGATGTGGAGGGAACATAGATTCGGACCCAATGCTCTCCAACTTATTAGGTGCTTACACTTCTGAAGAGAAAGTTCTCAAACAAACGATACTAGACTTCAGTTGGTGAGGATGTTGAATGGGCAGATGGAGCATTGCCCACGTAACATCAGTAGGCTATTCTCGCTTTTAAATTAAACCCCATATTGTTTTCTTGCTCCATCATTGTATTTTTGCTTTTCCTTAATGACTGAATTGTCTTTCATTTTCATTAATCTATGGAAGTCAAGACAGATGTTACGTCCTTGATCTGTCTACCCACTTTTGTACAGAGGATAACTAGATTAAGACCTTGACGCGATTTGCTGACTGGCTTAACCTTGAGGCTTGTATGCATCAGTTTGAAGTGGGACAAACGGCTTGGGGTAGAGAGACGAAAACTTTTCTATCACCTGATTGACTAAAAAGCATGAGAGTGAGAAAAGACAAGTCGACTGCACAATCTATTCTCAATTCCGATCTCGTTTCAGATTTCGGATTAGTGTACAAAGATACATTAATAAATGCATGACTAACCAGACCACAGTGCAAAAACACTCGAAAAATATAATTATGTCCAAAGCTGGGGATTAGAGTAGAAAATAGAGTACAAAATATTACGTTTAAATTACAATATCTTTTGAACGTAGAAGGCTATTGCAGTGAATCATACATCAAACGAAAGCTTATGATCTGTGTAATAGACTAGTGACAACAATATAACTGATTTACAAGCTTTGAATTAAACGAAACAACGCCCTAAAAATAACTTCCGCAGTTTGTCAAGGCTTCTTGTTTCTCTGTCAACATCAATAGAGATCTCTCCCTCATAAAATGCACATCACCAATCACACGACTGTGTGATGATTACACAAAAATTAGCGACCGATTTTTCAGGACTACGTAAGATTTGATTTATAGTTAAGGAACCGCGAACTTAAATGTCGGTCACATATGGTTGGGCAGTATGGTAATCCTAAGTGAGATTCAAGTTGCCCACAAACATTTAATTGTTTCATTGGATATGATATTTATGGATCTCACAAAGGCTGTGGCTTAGATCTCGCTTATAAAACCTAGAGTGGAATCACTGTTTAATAATCGAGTCGAAAGCTAGGTGATGACAAAACGAGGTTA